TAGAGATCTGGAATGTTGCAGCTTTCCAGTTTTTGCATTTTATAGAGAAATGAAAGACGACTACTTACTCATTTAGAGTTTCACTCTGAGCTCCGACCAGTAAAGACGTGCGACTGTTTAAAACCCCAAGCCACTGCTTATCTATTTTTAAACCCTTGAAGAGGGTATTATAATTTTGGTCAAAAGGCTGCAACGCAGTGAAGGAGGATCTCCGACCCTATAAAGTATATATTTTATTGATCAAGGTCACCCCCGTTAATATGAGCATATCGCGTAAGCATGTCCGTCTGTCTGTTTCTACGCCAACTAGTCTTTCAATTTAAAAGCTATCGACTTCTTTCCTTTGCACGTCGGAACGGCCGGGATCGGCCGACTGTATCCTATAGCTGCCACATAACTGGTTGATCGGCAGGGCCATAACTTTGGTGTTTTAAGAGTTTGAAAGTTGGGATTTTCTATGGATTCTATTTTGGTATAAAAATACCAATACATAAAAAATTGTATAAGGATCACCTAAACCTTATAGCTCCAATATAAATGAACGATCGGAAATGGTATTTGGTATTTGGTAAAAATACCAACTTTGTTATTTTTGAAATTAGAACCTTGTGACTTTTTTTAAAATTTTTTATTTTTATATATTATTTTTATTATGATATTCTCATACAAAAATAAGAAGGATGTCATCATATCAATAGGATAACAGTCCCTGATATTTTTAGTTTAGTGAGTGTAAAAATATATTAGGTAATAACAAAGTAACCAATTCAAACAATTTCTGATTCAAACAATCATCGTAACAAAGTTATACAAACATATATTAAACATCAGCAAAATGAACAAAAGTCGTCCATATATAACTACACTCTCCAATGAGCCACGGCCAGGACACTTTCGCATGTAAGTTATGAAGTAATCGAACTACTCATTTAATGTGATATTAAATTCTTATTATTATTTTTTTCTCTAAAGGACATATTCAAAATTTGAAAACGAATGTAGGTTGCTTTCCAAGGTGCAAAAAAGTTTAGGTGATATCAATGTAAAACGAAACAAAGAAGACAACATAATTTTACTGACGCACAAAGTTTCACCAGCCACTGTTGTGGTAAAAAACATTCAAGACAATAAACACACTGACACTATAATAAATATAAGGGATCATTATTTCATGTGCCACGCAATCATTTTAAAACTTTACTCAAAACAAATGTTTAAAAATTTGGAAAAAAATATGTTGAATATTTCCACACGTCAATTGTCTCCAAATGGCTTTAGTAATGTTTATCAATGGATGATTTCGGAAATGGGAAAAATACCCATGCTTAATATGCCCGAAGTTCTCAGAGCTGCATCATATTTGGAGATAACTGAGCTTCTTGAGCATGCCTGGAACGTTCTAAATAGTCATATCTATACTAATTTTTCAGCATTTAATATAATGTTTAAAGTGCGTCACGCCTATGAACTGAATGAGATAAACGAATTGATGGCTAGCCGCATATCCAAAGCAACTTTGGTAATACTATCCAGTCGTGAGTTTCTTTGCCTTAATGAAAATCAGGTGTGCCATTTGCTAGCATCCAGCTCTTTGGCAGTAAACTCGGAAATGGAGGTGAGTTAATAAGGAAAGCTCTTTTTTTCTATTCATATATATAGTGTATATTACTTTATATCCTTGCAGAGGGGATTTTAATTCTGGTCAAGAGTCCAACGCGAGAGACTTCTCCGACCCCATATTCTTGATCAGGACCAACATCTGAGTTGAGCATGCCCGTCTCTCTGTCTGTCTGTCCATTTGTCTATAACTCATTGATCGGAAATGCCAAAACTTTTGGTATTTCTAAAGTTAGAGAGATTATCTTTTCTATGGGTTGTACTTCAAGTCAACTGATCAAGCCTAACAAATTACCGGGATAGGGATCGGCCAACTAAATCTTCGTATTCATATGAGTATCGGCCAACTTTATCCGATTTTTGCTATATATATCCGATCTTTACTGCAAGGGTATATCAACTTCGGAAACGCACGAAGTTAGCTTTCCTTTCTTGTTTTTCTTTGACGTAAAAAAACCTTCTATTTTGTGTCGTTTCAGTTATTATACAGTGCTTTTATGTGGCTTAATCATTTGTGGCCATGTCGCAGATCCAGCACAGCTAAAATCCTACAAAATATTCGATTTGCTTTTATGTCTCCAACAATGTTGGACAAGTTTAAAAAATTGGAATGGCACAATACAGGCACCTTTAGCCAAATTTTTAATGAATTTACTAATCTACCAAAACTAACACAACTTATTCAGGATGCATTATTTTGTAGCACCTTAGTAATAACCACAAACAACGAACCAACTTACATTAAAGAAAATTTAGAATACACTCAAATCAAGTCGCTAGCTCCACGTCGTTGGATGTTCGATACTCGATGTAAACATCACCTATCAATGAGACAACAATGCCCCAACATGCAATACATATCGTTTGAACAATTTAAAAATTATTTATATATATTAGAGAAGTCTGAAAGAGATTTTGACCAGTTCATGGAATGTGGAGATGATAATGATGATTCCAAGAAACAAGAAGATTGTCAAATTGAAACTAGCTTGGGCAAAATAACGATACATTCTATGTTGAATGTCAAGCACTTATCACAGTACATAAAACTTTTGACTGGAAACATAAATTTGAATTAAGCAATCACATAATATATACTTGATAATTGCATGTTTAAAATAATATAATAAAGAATCTGTAAATACAGTCCAATCTCAAGTCGGGGCTTTTTACTACTGTAATCTAGGGCACCATCCACAGGCTAATTTGTTTTGTCGCGAAATAGTTTTCGCGAGGAAGCAATTCACTCCATACACAAATGATTATCTTTTTAGGTTACCTTAAATCCTAGCCCACCTGGAAAAAACTGAATCATTTCGTCCCATTCCTTGGAAGCTATGAAATGGCCGGGAGTGCTCATACAAGCGTCAAGGAAATTTTTTTTTTGAAGATTTTTGGAAATTTTTATAAACTTCAGAACTTTAGACTCTGATAATTAAGAGACACACCTAATGAAAAGCAATATTTATACTATCCCTAAAAGTTATGCAATGCTTTCACACAACACCTCACAGTCATACGGTGGTGTGGCCATTCTAACACACAAAACAATAGAGTTTAAAGAAATCATCTTAGGATACGATTTTGACGCTCTATTATTGAAATATCCTCTAGGAAAAAAAATTAACATAATATCAACATATCTCCAACCTAAGCTATCTCAAATGTTATTATACCCTTGTAGAGGGGATTATTTATTTATTATTAATTTATTATTAATTTATTATTATATTTATTTATTATTAATTATTAATTTTTTTATTTATAAATTAATAATTAATAATAAATAAATTAAATAAATAAATAAAATAATAAAAATAAAATTAATAATAAATTAATAATAAATAAATAATCCCCTCTACAAGGGTATAATAACATTAAAAAAGAATAAAAAATAAAAAAGAATTCTTACTATGGGCAAGGCAAGGTTAGTCAGGGAAGCTGTCTTAACCCAATTCAGTTAAACCTTTACACACTTGAACTTCATAATCTAAGAAACGATTATAGTACTTATTTCCAATACGCGGACGATTTTTTTTAAGTCTGTTATGATAAGAATTTATCGTTGTCTGATTCTTCGAGCAGAAAGTTAATTTCTTTATTCTTCTAATCAGCCACTATTAATTTCAACCCTAGAAGAAGACATTTAAATGTTCAGTTTAATAATATCACCTTAAATAATGTGAATAACGTCAACTATTTGGGTAGAATTATAAGTGTTAAAAACTCTTCTGTTCCACACATTAAAAAAACGATTTTGAAACCAAACCAAACAAATATGTTTCTCCAAATGCGTGATGGTTGTCTCTTCGGAGGTCATCCCAGTAAATCCCTTCCCCTATAAAGACGTTATTAGACCTAGGTTTGGGTATGCCTGTATATCATAAATTCCCAAGCAAATTTTTCCCATTTTCTTTTTAAATCAACTCGAGTTAAAATTATTTTTCATCTCGCTGCTGAACTCCCACCCATTTACAGAATTGAATTTACCACAGCTAAAGAGTTAGCCAAATCCTTCGCGTACAGAGTTCCAACTGCTTCACTCTTACCTCTTTCATACTCATAAACTAACACAAGTTTTAGTAGAATCTATACTAAATAAAAAAACATTTTTAATCATATTGCTCTTATCAACCCTATTTTTACTTTCCATCAAAAATGATCTTTAGACACGATTTTTTTTAAAGGTATCTCCGTTTTCAAAAATCAAGCTAATGAAGTCATTATTTTTACTTTACCTTATGAAAAATTGAACATGGATGAATTATATGAACATGGAAATTTTCTACACGAACGGTTTGGTTTCAAATACAGTTGATAGTTTCTATACTAACAAAAAGCTGTCGTCTATGACCACTAAAGCTTTGGAAAGAGCAATTGATTTTGCGATTTCCAACTGCTCTTTAAAAATAAACATATTGATGGATAGCCTTGGCGCTATCAACCAAAAATAACAGCTCCAACAATTATATTGACCGAATATATATACCAAAATATAAAATTGTACTAGACTATCAAAAGTAGTAGTTCAGCACATACCCAGCCATGCAAACATTTGGGAAAACAAAATAGCTGATTGAGAAGCAAAGAATGCTTGCCTACACGGCTCCTTTTTATATGTTAGATAGACATAAAATGATGCGATCAACTCTGTATTAAATAGAATTCAAGATGATTGGGAAAGACATTATAAGGTATTCTCTATGGAGCGTAATAAAGGCTACTCAAACATTTGGCCTTTCATCACCAAATAGCCCTGGTTTTATATTAAAAGTATCTATCAAAAATAAATGCTTTTAATTTTTTTCTCTTGCTTTAATATAGTATTAATATTCATTTATTTCATATATTTTTTTTCTCTTGCAAGTATTAATGTTCAGAATTTTCCAATAGTTTTCAAAGCATTTTCTTAACCTGAGCGTATTTGGTATTTAGTACTGGAAACGGTCAAAGTCGCGTCCGCCTCTCATATTTCCTCCAAAGCGACCTCCGGCAGAACAACCTCCGTCTCCGTCACCTCGTCGGTTCTTCATTGCCTGGAAGCGCTTGGCCATATTGTAAAGTTCTTCAGGAACCTCTTGCTCTGCCTCCTTCAGGATGTTGATGAGCTCCTTGGCCATACCCCAGTCTTCGCGGGTAATAAAGCTAATGGAGGTACCTTTGCGTCCGGCGCGTCCAGTTCGGCCCACACGATGCACATACTCCTCAATATTACGCGGAAAGTCATAGTTAATAACGTGCGAGATGTCCTCAATGTCCAAGCCTCGCGAAGCCACATCGGTGGCAACGAGAATGCGGACAACACCGGACTTAATGTCGGCAATGGCTTGCTCACGATCGCTTTGGTCCCGGTTTCCATGAATGCACTGAGTGTAAAAGCCATCCAATGTCAGATCACTGGACAAGTCGTCGGCGCGAGCCTTCCGCCCGCAGAAAACGATTATTTTATCCGTTTTACTCATATTCTTCACAAAGGACTTGATTGCTTTTAGTTTTTCGTCATCGTCCTCGAGCAGTTCAATCATTTGCTTCACCGAATGGGTGGCCGCCAAGTCCAATGAACCGACACACAGCTGGATAGGATTCTTCATGTAGCTCTGGGAAAGCCGACGCACACCAGGTGGCCATGTTGCCGAGGTCATGATTGTCTGCCGATCCGGCCGGATGTCCAGCAGTACCTGACGGATCTGCGGCTCGAAGCCCATATCCAGCATACGATCGGCTTCGTCCAGCACCAAGTACGTGATGCTGCTTAAATCGATCACTTTCGCCTGAACCAGGTCATTCAGCCGTCCCGGAGTGCAGATGATGATCTCAGCTCCGCGTTCCACGACCGAGATTTGCTTGCGGCGATCGCCTCCGCCGTAAATACACACTGATGTCATGCCACGGAACGGGTATTTCTTGACCTCCATTTCGATCTGTAGAGCCAGCTCTCGAGTAGGGGCCAGGATAAGGACGTTGGGGCCACCCCTCTGTTCCCTTGGAATACTTTGATACTCAGTGTGTATCATCCCGGGTAGCAGGAATGCCAAAGTCTTGCCAGTTCCTGTTTGGGCAATCCCAATCATATCGTGACCTTTTAGGAGAATGGGCCATGCTTGAGCCTGAATGGGCGATGGTTTGGAGAATCCCTGTTTCATGATCTTGTCCAGCAGGTCCGGGTACTTTGCGAAGCATTGCTCAAACTTCCAAACTGGATTGGGTATAGGAGCCAAAGTTTCCCCATCTTTTGCCCCAAAAACATGCGACACCGTAGTCCCGTTGTTCTGCTTCCGTATTTTTTCTGCCTTGGATGCGCTTAAATTAGCCACTTCGGGTGATTCCTCGTAAAAGTCCTTAGTAAGAGGAGGATACTTTGCCCAACGAGCTGCAGCAGCTTTTTCCGAAGCTTTGTTTAGAGCATCCCAGTCAATAAGGCCCGTAAGATCACCAGGTTGGGGTGTGTCCACCTTGGGCGGAGGTGCAAAATCATAATTATTTCCACCGAAAGGCTTTCTAGATCCGCCATCGCGACGACCGCCATCATCACGATCACGACCCCTTCCGGAATCGGAGACTTGTTTTCGTACAAAATTCATTGCATCGCTTACATTGCTTTGGAGCCTTCCGTTGATTTTAACCGCTGGGTCATCCGTGTCCACCTTGACACGGACATTGAAATCATTCTGAATCCGTTTGATGTTTTCGCCGGCCCGTCCGATAACCTTTCCAATCATTTCAGGGGCAATAGAGAGCGTCTCACTGAAGTCATTTAACTCGAAGTTGCTACGACGTGCTCCACTTCCGCCGTAATCACCACGGTGGCTCTTCCCATATGTTCTGCCTCCATCTTGATAGCTACGCGGCTCAGCATCACGCCGCACGCTTCTTTCATACTTTTTATTCATCTGGGCAGAATCTCGGGGCTTTACGGGCCCTTCAACATAGTTCGGATCGTCCCAATCGAGGTCGCTCATGGCAGATTCAAAGCAACGTATTATTTTAATGAAATTCGTTTGACTAACAAGACGCACGTGGGAAATTCTGAGTTTGCAGTTCCTTTGACAACTTTGACAACGCTATTTGCGACCAGGGGTGCAGGAAAATTTAGTGACACATCGATACTATCGATGTTTCCAAACAATCGGCACAATCAAGTTGTTCTTCGATGAATCACTATTAATGTTTTTTCTAATAAATCTGATATAGGTCAGCAAACTGATAAGCTTTTATTTGTAAGTATTTTAAAGTTCAACGATATTTATCGATTCTTTGCAAATGAACCAATCGACAACTACGTATCGAAAACTTTGTTCTTAAAGCGAGCCAAAATTAATATACATATAATTATTTTTTTCTTGATAACTAGCCCCTTTTTGATCCCTCGAAATGAGATTTCATGCTTTGGCTGCGGCGTTAGCCCGTTCAAACGGGGAGGCCAAATAATTCTTCCACCATTACCAACAGGAAGTAACTTATGTTGTAGCCGATAGACTTAATCGGGCTTCGGACCTGATGGAGATGGAAGGCCCCAGTAATGCCACCTAGTTCTAAGTAGGGATATTCCGGGGCACAGGAATATCCTATGTAGGAATGACCGTTCCGGGGCAGAGGAGAACTCTGCAAGAAAGTTGCAAGACAAAAGTCAAGTAGTCAAGTAGAGCGGTCGCATAGGCTTAAAACAAATTACAACCAAAGCAAATATGTTTAAGTAAAAAAAATTAAATATAAAGGAGGCAAGAAATCTTGGAAAACGGGTCGGAAAGCAGGATCAGCGATCAGACATTTTTGGACATTTTTTGTCCTTATTTTTGTGACAATAAATTGGTCCGTTCAACGTGGCCCGCCATTGACTACAAAACTGATGAGGCATAAGAATAAAACCCAAATTAACGTTTTGTTCACAAGCGCCTAAAAGCGAAACCGAAGCTCCGGAACGGATCCTAAGTAAGAGGAAATTTGTAAGATTTAAACAAAACTGAACAGAGAAAAAAAATTGAGTAACGAGTAGATTTGTGCTGCGGGATCATGAGGAAGGAATAATAAGGAAGTAGTGGAGGATTGAGGTGGTCAAAAAACAACATTGAGGTGGTTTCGAACACACATAATGTCTATTACAAAGGCCATTAATACAAAACTGAAGACACTATGGAGGCTTCTTAATAGTCGGAACAAGTTATCCCTACCGAAGAAGGTTTTAACACCCAAAGCGGTAATTGCTCCCTCATGGTGTTACGGGCTGCAAAAAAAAAAAAAAAAGAAGGGAAAGCTAACTTCGGGCGGAGCCAAAGTTGATATACCCTTGCAGTTAAAGCCGGATATATATCGCAAACATCGAATATTGTTGGCCGATCCTGATAAGAATATGAGAAACCCAATTTATTATAATTAAAAATCTACAAAAAAGTCCCAAACTTCTATCTTCAAAAATACAAAAGTTGGTATTTCTACCAAAAACTATTTCCACTCGTTCAGTTATATGGCAGCTATAGGATATAGTCGGCCGATCCTTACGAAATTTTGCATGTCGCATTTTTTTTGCCAAAAATCTCGTGTAAAATTTGAACTCTCTAACTCTAAAAACACCAAAGTTATACCATTTCCGATCAATCAGTTATATGGCAGATATAGGATATAGTCGGCCGATTCCGGCCGACGTATATACTGCGCGCAAAGAAAAGAAGGGTGTGTGCAAAGTTTCAAGATGATAGCTTTAAAACTGAGAGACTAGTTCGCGTAGAAACAGAAGGACAAACGGACATGCTCATATCAACTCAGGAGGTGATCCTGATCAAGACTATATATACCGTGTAGGGTCGGCGATGTCTCCTTCACTGCGTTGCACACTTTTGACCAAAATTATAATACCCTCTGCAAGGGTATAAAAAGAAACTGAATCTTAAATGAAAATGATATAAGCGTCGCGACAATGGAACCAGTTTCATACAAACCCATAGAAACCATACCAGTTAAATAAATTAAGAGAATTGCAAAAAATATGGAAAGTTGATGGTATTTTATAAAAAATTAATTATATCAGAAACAAATCAGATTATTCGAGTAGTTAAACAACATTTTTAAATAAACTAAATTAGTGAACAGAATTAAATAAAATAATTCCATTTTTGTTTAATATTTCAGATGGGAATAATTTTAAACCAAAACAAACAAAAAAAAACACAAGCCAAAACAAAGCCTTGACCAGAAAAACACTACTACGAAGAATCCAGCCGACGATGATTTTGACATAAAACTTTTGTAAATAATTCTTAAGAAAAAATAATATTGAATAAAAAAAATTAAAACAGAAAATCAGATTATCCAAAAGATTCCTATCATTACTCATGAAAACAATTGCAAAATAATAAAAATAAAAATAAATTTAAAAAGAGGAATAAAAGGAGGTCCAAACTGCTTACAAGGCAGGCAGCAACTGATTCTCGAACAAAAAGTACCTGCTTTTATACCAAATATATCCAAACTCTTTCACCATAGCCTACTTATTCAATTTCTACACTTATGTTTCCACTCATAAGAGACTGGAACGAGCCATTCGCAATCCATGTATTATTTCAAGGTTTTTCTCAAGGTCTGTGAGTTGGGTATGTAATGGCCTGGGATATGATAAATCAAAATATGATCGTCCACTCGATATATAAAACATGGTCATTTTTGAGCGACAGGGTATCCTTTTTCATTGGTGATGCTGTGGTGGCCAACTAGGTGCTATGACGGTCCTTCGGTGGGCTGGGAAATAATGGGGGTTTTTGGAGTGGCGTCCCATTGTGGCTTTGCTGATGGTTCCATGTGTGATCCTGCTGCTTCGGTCCTACTCTAGTAGGTGAGCTGCATGAAGACAATATTTAAATGCATAGATAACTAGAATCCCTTGTTTTTCAATTTTTTGATTTTTAAATCGGACATCATTTCCCGATCATTCCTCTTGATCTCTAGATCAGGCTAGATGCCTGGGGCATGCTCAGAAGCATCTCAAAATATGTTAAATTAATTTATATTTGGAATCTATTTTTGGAAAGATTAGTTCAATAAAATAGAACCTTTACGGATATGAAGAAAGTGGCGCAATAACGTGTATATCTGATCTGATTCTTGATCTGGATCATGCACAAAGTCGATAAAAGTTACTTAATATTTCTGTTTCTTTGTATATTTTTATAAGGTAAAGTTTATAATAAAAAAAATTCAAAAAGTCATAAAAATGCAAAAGGTAGGATCTTTCCAGAAAATCAGGATTTTTTGATTCCCATCTTTTGATGGCAAACTATTTCCATAGTTAATATAATATATATCTGAAAAGCGAATTTCATCGAAATCGGACGGTGGAGATATAGATATAATTTAACCACCTTTTGGAGGAGATATACCCATATAAAGGGTGGTTAAATTGCAAGGGCCGATGTTAATTTTGAATAAAACACAAACTATTTTGGAAATTATTGTAATTTTTTTTTTATTATGATATATTGGTATTATTCAATTATGTATCGAACAAACAAAATATCGGCCAAATGGGCGCCGCGACCACGGCGGCACACCTCCATCCGATGGTCCAAATTTTCGATGTACCTGAGGCATAATGGAGGTTCTATGCCGTTAATGTGCCGAATTGTCTCATCCTTCAGCTCTTGAATTGGCTGAAGGATGTACACGCTGGCTTACCGATGTACACCTTTTCTTTTAAATAACCCCAAAGCAAAAAGTCCAACGGTGTCAAATCACATGATCTTGGCGGCCAATTTTTATTTATTTATTATTTTTTTTTTTTGCCATTACGTGAGATAGCACGGCCATTGAATTTGCACGGCGCTGTGTGGCAAGTGGCACCGTCCTGCTGAAACCACATATCGTCCACATCCATATCTTCCAATTCGGGCCATAAAAAGTTCGTTTTCATCTCACGATAACGAACACCATTCACAGTCACTGCCTGACCGGCCTCATTTTGAAAAACTACGGCCCGATGATGCCGAGAGCCCATAAACCGAGCTGTACGAGCATGCACTGGTGTTCTCACATCTTCTACAGACCCGGTTCGCTCGAATTTTTCCACGATTTTTTCGATAGTACGCACATTTGGACGATCAAATTGATATGCATTTTGATTTGAAAGCCCATTTGCATAATAAGTCTGGATAACTTTAACACGTTGTTGGATTGTGTATCTCTCCATGGTTCAAATTGAGTAAGTCTGAAATAGAGAAATGTCAAATAATTTTCGGAAAAAAGCTTGGCGTTTAGGTGTGGTTCACATTCAACATCCGCCCCTACAACTTAACCACCCTTTACATACGAGGTGTGTACAAAAGTAAGGTGACTTTGTATTTTCAAGAAGAACTATTAATTTATTTATCAATATTTATGTTGCTCCCTTCAAAGTAATCCCCCTCAGATACAATAAATTTATGCCAACGGTTTTTCCAATCCTCAAAGCACCTCCCATAAGCACTTTTCGGTATAGCCTTGAGCTCTTCCAGCGATTAAGTCTTTATCTCTTCAAACGTTGCAAATCTCCTTCCTTTGGTTTGGTTTCGATATCATAACCATATACCCATGATTCGTCACCAGTTATGACCCTTTTGAGTAAATCTGGGACGTCGTTGACGTCATTTAACAGGTCTTGAGCGATGTTTATGCGGCGGTTCTTTTTGTCAAAATTCTGCAATTTCGGAACAAGCTTCGCTGACAGACGACTCAGGCCCAAAACGTTTGAAAAAATTGAATGGCACGAGCCAAGCGATATACCGCATCAAATACCATTTCCGATCGGTCAGTTATATGGCAGGTATAGAATATATTCGGCCGATCCTTATGAAATTTCGTGGGTCGTATTATTTTGTCAAAATTCAAAATTTAGCATTCATAGCATTTTCGATCAATAATATGGCACCTATAGGATATAGTGGGATATATAGGATATAAATTATAATACCCTCTGCAAGGCATATGTATATATTTGAATTGAAGTTTTTTAGGAATTTATGTTTTGAAGAATTCATTCCCTAAATTAAACGCACAAAATTATTTTTACTTTCCTGTTAAAAAATAAGTAAAATGATACACC